GCATGCCTGGAGGCCGGAGCCGCTGATGCTCATGATGCGCGGCCGGGCGGGGGGCCAGGGTGCGCATCATCGAGGCTTCGTTTCTCTTTGGGGACCCGGGGGGCGAGCATCAGCAGCATCAGTGGCTCCGGAAAGGGTTTCGGGCTCGAAGGATGCTGGCATAACTCCATAACATGGCACTCGACATGCCCGCACACGCGCGCCCGCGCGCGCGCGCGTGTGCGCGGGGGAAACGCACCAGTTCCCGCGCGCGCGCGCCCATGGCTTCCCTGACCCCAGCTCCTGGCCGCGTAGGTCTAGCTCTTTCAGCTGACTTTAAAGGGCTGCCCCGCTCCTCCGCTCTTCCCGCCCGCTCCGCATGCCGCCCCCTCCCGCCCGCTCCGCCCACCCCGCCCATGGCTCCCAACCCCCATGGCCCCGATCTCGTATGGCCCCATGCCCCTCGACCCCCCTCCTGGCCCCACCAGGAGGGCGAACTGTTATTAGGCAGATGCAAGTGACTTCTATTCAAGTTAAGCAGAACTTAGCGAAGTGGTTTAGAAGTGGTTTATAAGTGACTTATATGTTCAGGATAAGTTCTAACAGAAAAGCGCGGTTTCATTATTTTGACTCGCACCGAGCCAGCTGGATATTCCTTAAATTGCTTAAATCCCGGCACGCCTGCTCAGAATTTTTTCATACGTTGGGCAAGTGGTCCGCGCATGGCAGCAAGCTCCTAGAAAAGCCACGTCACACTCGAACCTTCGGTTCTCCACCAAGAGGGCATCGTCACATTGGTAGAGGAGCTAACTCGAAAGCAACGAGACTCTGCTGTAGCAAGAAGCAAACCTCCCCAAGGCTTGCTCTGAAGCTTCTGCAAAACTTGAAGCACAAGCAGGAAGCCTTCGTCATCCTTCAAGCATTCCTGGACAACCCCAGGAACTGTCTCGACCAGCACCATGTCAGAGACGCGCACAGTAATGCTTTCCAGGCACATGCCAGAGGCACTCTGGCAGTTCGGGCGCTCGGCGTGCTGTGCGATCTGTCCCTGGAGAACATTCGTGGCGAGGGTGGTTTTCCTCTCCACGCGTGACAGCTGTTCCAGAAACATGCGCGTCAGCAGAGCACTTGCAAACGGAACGGGCCTGTTCACGTCCCCAATGTGGGCAGAGGCGAGCCTGTTTTTGAAGCTGCGGTGTTTGCTTTCGTGTGTCTCCGTGTGTATTGCGCAAGCCAAGTGAACCAGTTGAGATGGGAGGTGGAGCCGATGGTGATGTTTCGGCTTGCAGGCCGAAACACCATACGCTTCCTTGAAGAGTTCCTGGTGCACCCATTGCTGTCGCTCGAGCTGAAGCTTCCAGTCTTGCGAGGGTGCCTGCGCTGAGCGGCAGACGTGACGCAACAGGCGATGGCAGCCAATGAGGGCTGTGAAGCTGGCTCGCTCCTTGACCATGAGGTCGCACCGGTTTCCTAACAGCTCGTGCACGTAGTAGTTCAGCAAAGGCAGAAAGCTCTGCGTTTGCTGGGCGCTTCCTTTGTACGTCTCCTCGCCGAAAAGTTTGGCCGACCACAAGGACGCCATGTAGCTCTTGGAGTTGTGCTGGCTCACAGCCGGCCCCTTCCAAGGTGCTGCCTTGCAGACGGCAGCCAAGTCCTCCAAGGGAAGGCCCACCTTGCCCAAAGCACAAAGCAGCCGCTGCAACTCCCAGTTGGCACAGCCATTGCTATAGTAGCAGTGCATGATGTCGTTGCACACTTTGGATATAGGCATCCGAGCAGAGGCTTCGGCATCAAAGAGTAAGCCATCAGGCGTGCACGCAAGTCCCAACGCCTTCTCCAAGCGCTGCAGACTGGCCTTGGAGCCATGCTGGGCCTCGTGCTGCAGCGCACGGACAGCCTCTCCCACGTCTGCGTCTGTCGTCAAGCTGAACTTCCTGACATCCCCTTCCTCGCAGCCGAAGAAGCCGGGGACGGAAGTAGGCCCTCTCAGCGCATTCGTGCACAACGTGCAGCAGCGAGTGCCGGCTGAGCCCTTGGTGGCCCTTATGGCATCGTTGTCAGCCAGAAAAAAAGCCTCCGGCCCGAGCTTCAAGTGCACGACCTCCGCACCGACAGAGACCGCGAAACCCGCCACAGCTTCAGAAGACAGAAGTTCCTTGACGGCTTCGCGCATGAACGCGCTCAGGCCACCAGCGGCTCGCTCCAACTGTGCGTGCGTGGCCATGGCGACCGCCAGCCACGCATCCTCTCGTCTGAGCACAGCGGAGCCGAACTCCACGAACGAAACGTATACCAAACTTGCTTTGAGGACTTTGAGGGGCCCCAGCACGTTGCCCGCCTGTGCCTCGTCGTTGTACAGTATAGCCGTGAGTGTTCGCCCCTCCCTGCTTGCTGCCCGCACCAGCGAGCCGTAAGCGGGGCTGTCACAGCAAGCTCGCGCCAAAAGCCTGGGGAGATTAGCCACTAGAATCTACTCTGTCCCCTCTCGGCCGACGAAAGCACGCACCTGGAAGCAGGCCCGCACGGGGCAGCGCGCTTCCTGCGACGCGGCGCGCAGAACTCCGCGGCCGATCTGCGGGATTCTTTCAGTTCCCTCTGCTACCACGTTCCACACAGCTCTCACTGCCTGTTCTGACGCATTTGGTAGCAGCAGACACCGCTGCAGCCGGCGCCTCTGGTCCTCGTTGAGCTGGCGCTTCCCCCGCATTGCCGGACAGGGCCTCCCAGCTACACAACTTGTTTTGATCCCGCGCGGCAGTCGGGCGTGTATAAGGCTTGGATGCTTCGGGTAAGGGTTTGGGGTCGAGGCTTTAATCGGGATTGCATATAGGTTTGGGTGTACAATTTCAGGTTTCGGGTTCGGGTTTAGCCCTTCAAAGCCTGTAAGCCTAGACACCCTCTAATTATACACCTTTCTTGAACCCGACACCCTTAAACCCCAAACCCTATAATATAGACAGCACAGTCAGGGTCTTTATTATAGGGTCTACATGGTTAAGGGCCTAAACCCTATTGGCCCTATAGAGACCCTATAAACCCCAAAGCCTATAAACCCTGAACCCTAAACCCTAAACCCTTATAAAGACTATTCCAACCGTATATACAACCCTATGTGCACGTTTGCACCCTGGCGGGAGAGTGCGACAAGAGCAGGCCTTCTTTCTGCACCCCCTCCTTTCAAGCCGTTATGAGAGTCAAAAGCTGGGCAAGATTCCCTGCGGCACTTCTGCCGAGGAACTCGTAATGTCGCACCCACGGGACTCGCGCAGGAAAGCAGTCCTCATATAGAGAAAACAGACAGTGACATTCAGCAAGTAGTACGTGAGGACAGAAAACACTAACGCATTGCTCACACGCAGACCCAGGGCAGAAGGAGCAGCAAGGTTTCATGCCGACACGGTGTCAGAAGACCCCCGGAGCGCGAGCAAATCGCGACCCCGTCTTCGGGACCTGCCGTGCGCGTGCGCCCTGATGGTGTCGGGCGCACGCGCAAAACTAGACGCAGCTCAGGCGCCTCCTCTGCAGCGGCGTCGCTTCGGGAGCGGCTCGTTCGACTCGGCAGCTGCTTTCGGCTTCGGCTCAACCTTCGGCTTCCTGGGAAGGTCATGCCGCAGAGCCTTGGCAGCCTTCACCTTGGTTTTAAAGGCCTGGTCGTCGAAAGGGAGCGCGGGCAGGAGCGGCTGCGTGTCCTGACCGGCCACCGCGGAGTACTGCAACGTCACAGCCTGACAAGCAGCCTTCCAGCTAGACAGGACCTGCAGAGCGTCCTCGACTCCAGCTGCCAGTTCGGGCGGCGCGTCGTCCCTTTTAGCGACCTGGTTCTTCAGCTTCTCCAAAGAGACCAGAGTCCCGGTCAGCTCGGCCAGAGCTTTCTGCGCCTGCAAGTTTGTCTTGCAGTTATCGCGAGCGATCTTTGCAGACGCTGCAGCCTTGGGCGCAGCTTGCGCTAGCCGGTCCTTCTTCCCGTTGCCTTTCCCCGTGCCCTTTGCAGAGGAAGAGGCCGCGGGCAGGAACCAGTCCTCTGCTGGCGGCTGGTCCTGAGCGCCCTGGCCCGCAGCAGCCTTCTTGCCTCGTTTAGCTTCGCGGCAGTCCTCCTCTTTGCGCAGGAGACCTCTCTCGATGTCCTGGCGAAGAACCCGGAAGTTGTCGTGCTCAACAGGGACCTGGTAGACAACACCCAGGTGCTCAGTCTCTTTAGACGGGCAATTCCGCACAGAGTCGGACAAGAAGCCGCGCGCCACCCAGACGCTTTCCGGCAGCCACTCACCTGTGCAGCCGCTGTCCCACTCCTTGCGCACTTCGGAGACCAACTCTGTCACAAGGCAGGAGCGCACAACGTCCCAGGAAGCTTTCCCGGCGTTGTCGTTCTTCTCAGTGTTCTTACGGAAAAACTCGGCCTGCCTCGTCGCGTCGAGTTTCTGCAGGACTTTGAGGTCGCCAAGGTGGCGCTTCACAAGGCTCTGCAAGGACTCGCAGGCGCGACACAAGAAGGCGGGGCCGTGCATCCGACCGTCCGCAGCAGGCTTCTGTGTTTTGCAGAGACGACAGCAGAGGAGCTCCGGTTCCTGTGCTTGACGGACAGCAGCGGCTGCAGACTCCATGGGTCAAGTGCACAAGGGGAGGAGCTACAAGGAGGGGTGTATAGCCGAAGCAAGACGCCTAGAACGGCAGGGTTTGAGCCGAAAAAAGTTAGGGTGCAGAGAGCTTGAAAGCCGCCCGCCTACGCGCGAAAAGGAGGAGCGTGTCGCAGAACACACAGAAAGCACAGAAAGCAGCCATCTCTTTTCCATGTCTGCGAGAGTGTCTGTGCTAGAAGGAAGAGACGGCAGATGAGCGAGTCGGTGGCTGAGCCCGCGGACCCGCGCGGACCCCGCGCGGGCGCCGCGCGGACGTGTCCAAAGACGCAGGCTCGGCGCGTGGCTGCTCTTGGCAGCATGTGGCGCGGACACACGCGCGGACATGCGCGGACCTACGGCACCCTCTACTTTCAGTGGTTTTGGCTTGGTGTCGCGCGGACACAGTCAATCGTCCTGATTCAAGCTTTCTGCCAGAAGCTGTGTAAGCACGCGCGCCAGCACGTGCGCTATGCGCACGCCCGACAAGCGGTCGGGGTGAAACACGAGGAGCAGCCCCTGAAAGTAGCGCCTCCGGGCCTGTGGCGGCAGTAGTGTACTCAGCTGGTAGAGCACATATAGCAGAAGCCGGGGCAGCAGATCTTCCCCATCGTCCGTGACGGCATCACGCACGAACCCGGGCAGGACTGTGAGGTTCAGTTCCACGAGCATGGCCCGAGGAGGGCCTCTCGGGACGCCTGCTGCCTGGGCCTGGGCCTGTCTGTGGGCACAACGACCGCCATGACCCATGCCATAGCGGCACTCGCGACAGCAGAAGCGATGGCCTCCAAAAGCCAGACGCGTGCAGCCCTCCCGCATGCAAGGAGCCATGGCTTGTTAAAGCTTGGAACCGTGTTAGGGTTTAAGGTTCAGGTCTGGGGGTTTATAAAGGGTTCGGAAGGGTTTAGGGTTCATGTATACGCTTACGGAAGAGAAGCACAGAAGCCCAAGTCTTGCACAGGCGCGGGTGTTTGGGTTAAGGGTTGCGGGGTGACAGGCAGGGCTACATGGGACTATTTTTTTTGTGGGATTTTGTGGGGGCTGAGCGAGGCGGACCCTTTTCTGTCTCTGCGAGCGATGCTCCGGAAGAAGTGCTGTCTGAATGGGCCTGGCAAGGGGCACAGTACAAGCAGAAGCCTAGTGCAGCTAGTGCACGTGAACCGTGACCCGCCTGGACCGCCTCCTTGGGCGGTCCGGCGTGTCAGAGGAGGAAGACGCTGAGCGGTGGCGACGCTTCTTGTGCCGGGGTCCCACAGGTGAAGGTGGGCTGGAGGAGGGAGGGCGTCGTGAGGAGCGCTGGCGGCGGCGTAGCTCCTTGTGCTTGCGAGCCCGGCGCGGTGGAGCTGCAGTCTCTGAGCGACGCTGGCGAACTGGAGCCGAGCGCAGACGAACAGCAGGGGCTTGGGGCTGAGCCGTGCTGCGTCCGCGAGCAGCGGGCGTTGCAGCCTGGCCACTGCTCCTCGCAGGAGTGCCTCGCCGACCGCGACCAGGTTTGGTGGGGGCCGGCACCTTTTGGGCATGGTCAGCACAGCGCTTCTGGTAGACCTCCTCCGCCTTAGCCACAGCAGCTGCCCAGTCCTTCTGGCCCGCAGCCCGCCAGAACTGGAGCTCCAAGCAGCGCTTGGACCAAAAGCGGTGCTGCAAAGGAGGCCCCGCAGAACCCGCAGCGGTGTGGAGGGGGTGGCTGGCTGGGGTGACTCGGCTTGCGCGTGTCTTCGCCTTGCGCGCTCTGGCCGCCACCTTCCTCCGGGGTCGGGGTGCCGTCAGTGTAAGTGTACTCGCCGGAGCTCAAGTCCACTCTCGCAGACGGTTGGCCGGCCCGTGTCTCCTCCTCTGGCTTCGTTTGCTCCGTCTGTTTCTTCCTGTCCATGGCGGCGCCGTCGTTCTTCTTCCTCTCTGTGCCCATCGCAGAGGACCTGCGGCCAGGAAAGAAAGAGAGAAGGTGTCCTAGATACCTCTATATATCATATGTAGATGTATATATATATATATTATGTATCATATATATATATATATATGATACATAAATATATATACACATATATACTTATATGTATGTTCATATACATACATATACATATGTATGTATATATCAAGAAGATGTGTATATATATATATATAAGATTTTCATATATATATATATTTATATTTATATTTATGTTTATATTTATATTTATATTTATATTTATATTTATATTTATGTTTATATTTATATTTATTTATGTTTATGTTTATGTTTATATGTTTATGTTTATATTTATATTTATATTTATGTATGTGTATATATATATAGTATATATAAGATGTCCCTGGAGCAGCCACGCAGGCTTCATCGTCGCTGCCACGCAGGCAATGTGCTGAGCCACGCAGGCTCTGATAGGCGGAGCGCCAGAAAAGCCACGCGGGCTTCGTCCTCGCTGCCACACAGGCAACGTGTCCAGCCACGCAGGCTGTGGTCCCTGGGGACGCGTGCCGCGCAGGCAACAAAAGCGCAGCCACGCAGGCTGGCAGGGCAAGACCTGCCTGGGAGCCACGCAGGCTCTCAGGCAGGTGGAGCCGCGCAGGCCCCAGAACTTCAGCCACACGGGCTCTGGCGTTGCAGCCACGCAGGCTGCAAAGGCCGAAGAAGCTACGCAGGCTATTCAAGAAGCCACGCAGGCCCAAGAACAGACACAGGCAGTGTATATAAACCGTAAACCTGAACCCTAAACCCTTTTCCCTAGAAGTAACCTTAAAGCCTAAACCCTAAACCCTTTTCCCTAAACCCTAAACCCTAAACCATATATACAAGCCTTATAAACCCTCAAGCCTAAACCCTAAACCCTAAGCCCTAAACCCTACATATATGTATCCCAAAACCCTGAAGCAAGAAAAATATTCAATCCTGTATATATCAACAGAAAGGTTCGAGCACTAGCAGCTAATAGAACCGGAAGCCCACCTGCTGCAGCTGGAGCCACGCCAAGCCTGGGAGCCAAAAGGAGCTGCGGGAAGCAACAAAGTCATGCAACAGCTTCGATAGCTGGCAGTCCCTGCAAGGAGACACCGCGAGCAGCATCATGTTCCTTTCCCCTCCCAGTGCTCTTCAAGTCACGGCATGCGTGGTAAACTCACTACGGAGACAGAGCCCGGAATGCAGGGACGAGCTATGTGCTGAAAAATGCGAGGCGCTATGTCCAAGAGAGCAGCGGCCTATATGAGAAAGCGCACAAGAGCCATCGTGCATCACTTGTGCCACAGAGTAGCTGCAGCAGCGGAAGCTCGCCTGCCCGCTGCCTTGGCCTTCGTCTTGGAGAGACCCTTCTTGAGTGCAAGCACCTTCGCCTGATGATAGGCGCGCGAAGTGACACACTTCAATGTGTTCTTCAGCGTGCAGGGGCCAGCGCCGGCTTTGCGAGCAGCAGCGGCAGCCGCAGGCTTCTTGCGAGCACACTGATTCTTAGGAGCTGCTTTCTTGCTTTGCTTCGAAGTGGCTTTGGCAGCAGGCTTGCCTTTCTTGGGCACAGCTTTGCCTTGAACATTGGCTGCGGGCTTGCCTTTCTTGGACACAGCTTTGCCTTCAATATTGGCCGCGGGCTTTCCTTTCTTGGGCAGAGCTTTGGTTTTACTACCGGAGCCTGACAAGAGAGAGGCAGCAGCTGCCACCAAGCCAGGGGGTTGGTCATCACCAACCTCAGGCTCGAGCTTGCAACGCAACTGGTCCTCTGCTGCTTTCAGAGGCTCTGTAGGCGAATCAGCGATTGCCAACAAGGGCGCGGCAGCAGGAGCGGGCTCTGGCAGCTCCGGGGCCGGCAACGCTGCCTGTGACGGTGCAGGCCCTACTAGCTGCAGCGGAACTCCCTGCTGCCTCACAGAGGGGGGTTTAGGCTGCATCTGCAGATCCGGCACTGTCACGCCGCGAGCCCCCGCGCCAAGCTGCCCAGCAAAAGCGGCACCCACAAATGCGCCCAGTCCACCCAATCCCTCCCAAAAGTTTGCAGGAGCAGCAGCAGCTGAAGCAGCAGCCAACTGCTGCTGCGGCGCTTGCTTGTTGCTCTTGCGCAAGGGCACGCGCTGAGCCAAAGAGAAAATGAACTGCTGCACAGACGGGTCCAACACAGCAACCCCGGTTGGCAAATGCAGCTGCAGCATACACCGCAGGTAACTGGGCCACAGTGCATGGCAACTGCAGCAGAAAAGTTTGACCTGCAGGAATCGCACCAGCACGCGAAGCATGCTTGCGAAAAGATAACTTCATGCTCTCCAACGCGCTGTGCAGTTGGAAGCAGTTAGTAAAGTGCTCCACGCCCCGAAACACATGCAATGCAGTAAGCAAAGCCATGCTGTGCTCAGAGGGGGTTCGAAGACCCAGAGCTATCACATGCTGAACGATGGCAACGCACCGTTGCTCCTCGGAAGTGCTCGCGTTGGACAACAAGGTGACCAAAGCAGGCGACAAGAAGTCGAGCAGCCTGGTGTAGTCTTGCATGGGCCGACGCAATCCTGTTGTCGCGTTGTTTCCTCCCTCTGGAGCATCCATGACACCAAGGTGGAGAAAAACTTCCCGTATATGCTTTGTGCAACAAGAAAAGCCAAAAGCTGCAGCGAATTTGATACCTCATGGAAACATCATTTTTCAACGCCATATTGTCTTGCGTCTCCATGCGAAATCATGCGAAACCTATCCAAACACAAGTTCATTCTAACTATAACATATGTTCCAAATAACTACAAACGACAAAAAATGCAACTAACTTAGATCTTCAGAATTATTCAGATATCTTCAGATTAAGTCCTCCCCCACTACTTTAGAGATATAAGTGACTTATATGTGACTTCGCCTATGTATAACCTACTTATAAACGAAATATAACTCATTTATATCTCCCAAACACCAGTTCGCCCTCCTGGCATGGATGACGCCCGGCCGGCCCCGCCTCCAGGCCGCACGGCCCAATGACCCCTGGGCCATGACTCTGAGGCCCATTGCCTTTCAGCTTTAAAGGGCCCATGCAGTGCACCGCTCCGCCCACCCCGCCCATGGCTCCCCTGGCCCCATGATCCATGGACCCATGGCTCCTGGGTGCATGGTCCCGTAGCTCTTGGCCTCAGGGTCCATGGTCCCATGACCCCATGCCCCTGGACCCTGGTCCCATAGCTCTTTCAGCTGACGTTAAAGGGCGCCATACATGCCCGCCCGCGCCGTTGTTTGTTGTTGGGGGCCAGGGTGCGCATCATCGAGGCTTCGTTTCTCTTTGGGGACCCGGGGGGCGAGCATCAGCAGCATCAGCGGCTCCGGAAAGGGTTTCGGGCGGCAGGATTTCGAAGGGTGCTGGCATAACTCCATAACATGGCACTCGACATGCGCGCACACGCGCGCGCGCGCCCGCGCGTCTAATGTTCAACTATTGGCTGAGTAAGGTGCTGACGATCATGCACATGAACACCTCCACGGTGTTTGCGAACGTGAAAACTGTACATGCACACTTCCACAGTGTGGCCATGCACCTCCACGGTGTTTCTGAACATGAACACCTCCACGGTGTTTGCGAACGTGAAAACTGTACATGCACACTTCCACAGTGTGGCCATGCACCTCCACGGTGTTTCTGAACATTAACACCTCCACGGTGTTTGCGTTGTTTGTTGTTGTTGTTGTTGTTGTTGGTTGTTGTTGTTGTTGTTGTTGGTTGTTGTTGTTGTTGTTGTTGTTGTTGTTGTTGTTGTTGTTGTTGTTGTTGTTGTTGTTGTTGTTGTTGTTGTTGTTGTTGTTGTTGTTGTTGTTGTTGTTGTTGTTGTTGATGTTGTTGATGTTGTTGATGTTGATGTTGATGTTGTTGTTGTTGTTGTTG